GAAATGGCAGGTTGAATGGGCCACGACATGCAGGAGCAATGGAGTGGCCGTTCTCTCGGTTGCCACCTGTTTTCTGCCAGTTCTTCATCTATACTGACATCGGCTTCATAATTAATAATTTAAACTTTCGGCAATTTGGAGTAAATATCAATTTTAGATTACATCATATCGGTTTGTGAAGAATGAATATTGATGAGATGGTACTTTTGATAGGGAATGTTATATAATGATATAGCAAATGTCTAACCATTAAAAGAACTGTGCACAAACAATTGGCAAGCAGTCTTTTTTTTCCCTTTCTTCCAGTAAAAAATATATTACCCAAATGTAATTTCTTTTCTTTACCGACAGCCAGGGAATATTTGATATCATTTTTACATCTAAGACTACTCTGATTGTATAGCTGCAAATTTAATTCTGGCACAAAATATGTGTTGATTTGTAAAGGCATACGTAGCGATGAGAACCATGTGGTGTTTGATAGAATTCTCCTACTCTACAGTTACTTTTATGACAAAGTGAAAACAGCCAGATACACACAAGAATAGCAGCCACTGTGGTGATTAGTCTGAAATATTTATGACTTCAAGTGGTGATCACAGTCATGTTTTACAAATGGCCTGATTGAATGGCATGAATCACTCCACACACGGGTGAGATGGGCCAGTGCTTGGTTGCTCATTGTATAGGGGTCTGGGTTTGATTCCCATATGAAACAGTTTGTGAAACTCTTGATACCGTCCTCCGCCTTGTATGATGGCAATAAAAAAAGTGCTTTGATAACACTTGGTGTAACAGTGCAGTGATAAAAAAACAGTAAACTGTGTTTATAACAAACTTAGGGATATAACTAACTTATTTATATATGTATATAAGCTCATACAGTTATAACAAACTAAAATTAGTGGTCCCTTTGAGCTCGTTATAACTGTAGTTTACTGTACTATTGAAAAGAAATAATACCGGCACTACAGTAGAGTACCAATAGTGTTTAAATAGTACGTTTGTGTGCTACAATAGTGAGTGAGTGAGTATGGTTTTACGCCACTTTTAGCACTTTTCCAGCAATATCATGGCGGGGGAAGACAGAAATGGGCTTAACACATTGTACCCATGTAGGGAATCGAACCCAGGTTTTCGGCGTGACGAGCGAACACCTTAACCACTAGGCTTGCTACAATAGTGCAACATTAGTGCTACAATAGTCCAAAACAATGTAACAATAGTGCTACTTAAGTGCAACAATAGTGCAATAACAATGTAACAATAGTGCTACTTAAGTGCAACAATAGTGCTGTTAGTGCAACATTAGTGCAACATTAATGCAACAAAAGTGTCTGATCATTCTTACTGGGCAGAATTTCTGCAAGATTCTGTATCACCATTAAAGTCAAAGTTATCAGCAACTTTTCATTTCTCACCAGGAACATAACTAAGACCTAAACCCCACAGTATCCATTAATACGAGTCCTTGTTTCGTGAGACAGTTTCTCACTCCAGTGACAACCCATTTGTAGCAGTTTGAGAAGTACATACTGCATACCATAAAAACATTCATGACATCCATGCACAGCTGGCGAATTATCGCCAAATTCCACACAGAACTTGTTTCAATGTACATGATCAATGATTATGCTGGCAATGATATACTGCATGGAGCATTATCTCTTCATGGCATATTAAACGCAGTAAATTATACCAAGCGTATTGATGGTTCTGCAGTAAAAGCGATGATGGAGAATCCTAACAGTAATGTTACTGGCATAACAAAAGATACGATTAAACACATTCATATTCGTATATTCCCCATATTCAAACAGAAGAGAAACTAAACTCTACACTAAACTATCTCTGGCTGTTATTCTCATAAATCTGTCTCAGCCTAGAGAATGAATACAGCTCCATAACAAAGGGTGGAGTGAGGCTGATCGCAGATATCAATTTTATGTAAATTGTCAAGTGTGTGAACAATTAGCTGTATTTATGAGCTCAGGTTTATATTATTCACCAACACCTGTTTTCACAATTTTGACATTTTGCTCTGTTATCACAGATTTGGTATTTCTCCTGCCATGCTCTTTAAACTGGAACCCTGTATTTGTAACGGAGACCTTTTCCCGAACACGACTCAAAGTGGTCAACAGGATTATTTTTTAAAACATTTGCGACAATATTTGTGAACATGTGTGACACATAAAAATCCAAATATTCATCTCAACAAAAGTTATCAGGTTTTCAGACCAAGCAGATGATTTGAATAATTTTTTGGCCTCATAAAATATTTTTTATGGCACGTGAATGCATCTTACTGCAATGGTCCAGACTGTATCTAACACTATGAATAAAGATGAAGCGTTTGCAGAATGTCTTTCTTCTTGGCTGTGAGGGTTAAATCTGCCAGGAAGGCAACTTTATAACCAATACAAAAAATCAAACACTAAAATTACCCAAAAGAGGTTTCTACAAAAAAAAGAGGCGGTTCTAAAAAAAAAAGTTGGCAAATATAACTCTATAGTTATCTATATGTTGTGACCTTACACTATGTTGCAGAAGAGGACACTGACTAAGATTCCACTGATTGATGCTTACGATTGAAGTCCAATCATTTTATCATTATTATTCATATAAGTAATGTTGTTATTTCCATAACTGAATTTTGCCTATCTCAGTGTAATTGAATATTGATTTAATCCCATATACAAACAAACAAAAATGAGAAGTTTAATTAGTTTACAAAACAAGACAGATGTAGTTTTCTGTTACTGGAAGAAGAAACGGCCAACTTTGGAGCAGAATGATGTAGTGAAAGCAGAGCGGTGTATCACATTTCCTGAAACTAAATTAATCCACCTTTGCATGTCTGTTACATTCCTAAATCAAATTATATATTTCTTTGATCAAATCCTGCTTAATCAACTTTTGATCAAAACTGACATTAATGTTGTATTCTAAGTGTGGACTAAATAAAGAGCTTTGACTTTTGCTAGATGTTGTTCTAATGATCACTACAGGAATGGTGTATGTATGTATGTTCTAACACCATGAAACAAAATATGTGTGTTTGATATTTCAGCCCATCCCAAAATTGGCACATAGTAAAGCCATTTGTTTTTCAACTCATGGCTTAAAAATGAGATTGTTTTTCTTTCTTTAGCCCCTGGGTTTTAATCAAGAAATCAATTTTGATTGATCCCCCCCTAGCGGATGGTTCAAAACATGTGGAATGTGACAGACTATTAGCACTGTGGGAAGATTCCATATTTATAAGACACATTGGTCTCCTCAGTTGGTGTTCAAGTGAGGCAAAAGTGTTTTATTCGACTTTTGAATTTGAAAAGCATTGATTAAAAAGTGAATAAAATGAACTCTTTGGTCAGGATTCCATATTTTCCCTATTTAAGCCCAGGGCTTAATTTTGGATGAAAAAGGTGATAAACCAATTATTAGACCCTGGGCTAAATTATGTCCATTCCCGGTAGGTTGGTGTTCCAAGCGATTTTTATAATGCTAGTTTTCTGCAATTTGCAGAATGTCATTAAAAGCCTTTTTTTCTAATGAAGATGACCCGTGAAAATCCGGGGTAGAATAGGTCTTCAGCAACCCATGCTTGTCTTAAGAGGTGACTATGCTTGTTGTAAAAGGTAACTAACGGGATCGGGTGGTCAGGCTCGCTGACTTGGTTGATGCATGTCATCGTATCCCAATTGCGTGGATTGATTCCAGTTATATCACGGCGTGTCAGCGTAATGTGGGAGGAAAGCCCGAAGTGATGCAGGTCTCAGACGTTTACTCCTCGGTGAAACCCACGAGCACGGGTATGGTGCTGACAAACCTAGAAACATAATCGGGCTGAACCCATGATGGGTGACTGAGTGAGTATGGTTTTACGCCGCTTTTAGCATTATTCCAGCAATATCTCGGCGGGGGACACCAGAAATAGGCTTCACACATTGTACCCATGTCGGGATTCAAACCCAGGTCTTCGGCGTGATGAGCGAACGATTTAACTACTAGGCTACCCGACTGCCCCAGTGAATCATGATATCCCTGTCTCAAGAATCACATTCCAATTATTGGAAACTTTTTTTCTGGACAGATAACAAGCACTGTTAAAGTGAACAATGACAGCAACATGCTTGAAGGAAAAGCATTAATGTTGAGTATGAGATATAATGTTCATTAATCAAGGGTTATTATATGGTTGGTTGGTTGGTTGGTTTGTTGTTTAACGCTGCACTCAGCAATATTCCAGCTATATGACGGCGGTCTGTAAATAATCGAGTCTGGACCAGACAATCAAGTGATTGATATCATGAGCATCGATCCACGCAATTGGGATCGATGACATGTATCTACCAAGTCAGCGAGCCTGACCACCCGATCCCATTAGTCGCCTTTTACGACAAGCATAGTCGCCTTTTACGGCAAGCATGGGTTGCTGAAGACCTATTCTACCCCGGAATCTTCACGGTTATTATATGGGGCCATATAAACAAATACTTGAAAATATTTTCGACCTTTGATATCAGATTTGAAAAAAAGTAATCACCATCCGCTGCCATGAGTGCATAACTCTGTAAAACATTAATTCAAGACACTAGTTTTCAAACTCATTTGATATCGTGACCAGTAACATCAGTGTGTAAAATTTCATTTCTCTAACATCAAGGTCAGAAGCAAAACTGTTTTGAACCAGGTCAGAAAAATAAGACTACATTTTTACCTGTAAATTGAAGTTTTATGATCCAGATCAATCTAGTCACGCTAATTTACCCTCGTAAAATTGAGACAACATGTCTCCAATCTCAGAAGGCATCAATGACCAAATCTTGACTCAGAACAGAAATGGCCATCGAACATTCAAGCTTCATCTCTCTTGAAACATCTAATCATAAAAACAATGAATCAAACGACATACCAAACAAATTTTTAGACGACACAAACTCCTCTTTGCATTTGTAAACAAAGCTGCAAACAAATAGCTGTTCAAATGTACTTACGCTCACACTTCTGGTGTTAAAGTTGTCTCCCCCTTGATGACCTTGCCCAGGATCATTTGACATTGCCATTGTGAAGGCAAGGGGGTTGGTGTTGTAGCTCTGGAAGATACAAGACAGATTGGTAAAGAAAGATATCATTAGTAATCATTCTATCAAATAAAGCAATTCATAACCCTGACATAATGTCACCCCTGCAGCCAATAGAATGACTAGGACACGAGGCCAATAGAATGACTTGGACAGGGCGCAATAGAATGACTTGGACACGAGGCCAATAGAATGACTTGGACAGGGCGCAATAGAATGACTTGGACACGAGGCCAATAGAATGACTTGGACAGGGCACAATAGAATGACTTGGACACGAGGCCATTAGAATGACATGGACACGAGGCCAATAGAATGACTTGGACACGAGGCCAATAGAATGACTTGGACAGGGCGCAATAGAATGACTTGGACACGAGGCCAATAGAATGACTTGGACAGGGCACAATAGAATGACTTGGACACGAGGCCAATAGAATGACTTGGACACGAGGCCAATAGAATGACTTGGACACAAGGCCATTAGAATGACTTGGACACGAGGCCAATAGAATGACTTGGACACGAGGCCAATAGAATGACTTGGACACAAGGCCAATAGAATGACTTGGACACAAGGCCAATAGAATGACTTGGACACTAGGCCAATAGCATGACTTGGACATGAGGCCAATAGAATGACTTGGACACGAGGCCAATAGAATGACTTGGACACAAGGCCAATAGAATGACTTGGACACGAGGCCAATAGAATGACTTGGACAGAAGGCCAATAGAATGACTTGCACATGCCCCTTTGTAATGTATAAATATCTAGGCTACATCCAAGTCTTCCAAGAGAGGTTCTTTATTAAGGTATACCTATTTCAGATAGTTTTATCTAATGCTTCCGAATACTTCTCCGGAATAAGATATACCTTTAACTGAATTGTTTGAGTGTTATTTCTTAGGAGCTGAAGGATGACAAAGTAGACATAATTTAAGGATAACAACTTCTTTAATGTACTACTAATACATTCATGAGATTGTGATGCTACATTGTGTCTACTTTGCCTATAACTAAGGTTGTGCTGCATTACCGGTACACCAGTATATTGTGGTGCAAATCTTCAGCAATACGTATTGTGATACGTTTGTAAGCGTAGCAATATATTGGGCTAATATAAATAAATATATTTATGTGTTCATAATTGATATGGAGATGGAAAATAGTATCTTTCTGATACATCTTTCCTCTGACGATCTTTTTATCAATTAGCGTGTACACATCGCGACTATCAAGCTCCTCACAGCGATAGCCTGTTCGTGGAGCTCTCTATAATGAAGAGTATAGTGGAGAGTATAATGAAGGTGTCACGCGCTGGAAAAGAGTTTGCTACCATGTGACCGTATAATCTCCCTTGATCGTTGGGATACAAAATGGCAGATGATTTCGACATCTTCCCAAATAAGGGACACTGACTGATGATATCTGAAACTAATATAGGGTATAACTCTGATTAACTCATGAAAATGTAAATTGGCAATATATTGCAATACGTATCGCAATATAGATTAAAGTATGGCAATATATTGCAACAAAAAATCCAGGTCAATACACAGCCCAACCTATAACTGGAAAGAAATATTTTGGGGAAGGGAGAGCAGTAATTAAATGGAAAAGGGTGATGAGTATATTTTCATTACGGTACATATTTCTTTACACATGCATATGATACAGTCACAATTGAAAAGCGTTTGGTCGAGATTTCTTATGGTTATGGGAAAGGTATTGTCGCTTGTATTTCCATGTGTAGCAGGGCATGGAGTCATCCCACAGATGACGTCCTTATTTTGACAGGGTTAATTGTTTTGATCAAGTGGACAAGGCGTCTGACCTCAGGTCAGAAAGTATGTGGGTCGAATATCATAATGGGACTCGGTACTGTTTGGCTGCAACAAGGGCATGAATTCTGAGCACCATACTTTTTGAATGAAAGCACCTAGGCCACAATAAATTATTAGATTTTCATTCAAATGTATTAAATATGTGAAGAGTGAGTGAGTATGGTTTTACGCCGCTTTTAGCAACATTCCAGCAATATCACAGCAGTGGACACCAGAAATGGGCCTCACACATTGTAGTCATGTCGGGAAAGCGAACCCTTCGGTGTGACAAGCGAATAGCTTTAACCACTAGACTACCAGACCGCCCCAAATAGGTGAAGAAGCCATGGTCATCTTTGGGTTTTTTTCGTATTTGTTAAACACACTGTTCAAGCCATCTCTGTACACTAACTGTCAATGGATGTGATTTACAAAAGCATGAATGGTTGGTAGGCCAGGTATCAAGCATATTTATCAACTAAAGCAAGATTGAATGAGTGAGTGAGTTAGTTGGGTTCAAACACCTCTTTGAACAGTATTCCAGTTATATCACAGCATGTCGGCTTAATGTGGGAGGAAAGCCTGATGTGATGCAGGTCTCAGACTTTTACCACTTCCGTGAAACTCTCGAGCATGGGTATGGTGCTGACAAACCTAGGAACATAATTGGGACAAACCGGGATTCAAACCTACAATCATAGGTTTCTGGCGTTCCAAAGGGATGCAACTCTGCACTGCAAATTGTGGCATGTGAGCCCCCAACTCTAGCAAGAAGGCAACACACATAGCAATTTTCCTTTTCAGCTGAAATGTGTTTTCAGTGGAGCGTGGTCCATAATTTGGGGGTGTTTATAGGGGGTTCATCGGAATTCAACAAATTTGTGTTCACTAAAATTCTTGGAAATTCACGGATTCACAGAAGATTCTCATCCTGTGAATGGAGACTGGACACCACTTTCAACAGTATTTCAAACACATCTTGGTGTCAGATTAAGGTGGGAGAAAGCCAAAGATATGAGGAGTGTAGGTGTTAACCCCCTTGTGAAACCCATGAGCAAATTGCAGGTGGCATACCAAGGATAAGAATGGCATTCAATCAGGTGAGGTGAGGTGAAATTGGGTTTAACGTCGCGTCCAAGATTATTGCACTTATATAGCGACGTGCATGCACGTGTATGTGTGTGTGTGGCTGCTTGTACTAGTCCGGACTGATGCCGATTTATAGTGCTAGCTCACTGAGATACCATGCCGCAGTTTAACATGAATACCCCACTCAGACACAGTATACTGACTCCGAGCCGACCAGTCCTTGTTTTAGCCCCTTAATGCCGAGCGCCAGACAGGGTAACAACAAGTACAATCTTTTAACGTCTTTTAGTATGGCGCGGCCCGGGATCGAACCCTGGACCTTCCGCTCTCCGGGCGGACGCTCTACCACACGACCACGGAGGCGGTCGCATTCAATCAGGGATCCAGTTAGCAACAATAGAATCCTGGAATGGTGAACTGTGCCATTTCAAACACACGCCCCTACATTGTCTTTTACAAATATCTGATATATCCAGCCAGCCTTTATTTGAAATCTGTGCTCTCAGCATATTCTCAAAGTTCACTTCTTGGCCTCAAATCAGGACATCAACGAAGAGGACAGAAGTCAACTGCTTCATCATAAAGTATTAATCTCACATATTTGACAGTGATCAGAGTGTAAAGATTAATCAAACCATGTGCATCACATTTGTCCATGGATGGATTAGATGGACAAGAATATAATTAGTCGTAACATTCATGCTGCATTATAGTACTGATACTATTGATAAATATCCACAAGCAAATGAACAAAATAATGTCCATTAAAATTTCCGTTTGTGTTGAAAAAAAACCATATCAGTTGTTCATCTGTCTCAATGATGCCAGGGTGTTGCAAAAAGGCTCAGCATGTCCTGCTCTACCTGTAGCACCCGCACCACACTCAATTTGCAAAAAATGTATGTGTCTGTTGCCTAACAGTCTTATGACTGTGGAATGTTAGTAAAAGTGACAAAACACACTCCTAATTCGTAAGAAATCTCTGCTAAAAGCCTGATCCTTAATATTTGAGTCAATCCAGTGATCCGTATCATGAGCAATGAAATTGAACATTGCATGTTCGGTTCAAAATTCAATTTAATGTGGTTAAGTCTACTGGTAACCTAGCCCTACATTGAAAACACAGCATGTATATCTCCTAACTGAATATTGGGAGGGTTTTGTTGCTTATTTATTGAAATTTGCTGACTGGTGTGCAACGTCTCCTGTAACCCACAGCACCATGTGCCGCATGTGGTGTGCGACGCCTCCACTCCTCCATATTAACCACACAATCAAGGCAGACAGGCAGTGAATCTGGTTAAGGAAATAACCCAATTCCAGAATATGATAGAAGATGGACACAGTCACCATTAAGTCAAAACTAAACCAATTAACTGACAAATGAATGCAAAATATCTAATGAAATGCGAGACCCAAATTGTTTGACCTCATCCTAAGACAGTCGATCCCTATATCATCTACAGTGCAGGAAATAAGCTGACCACTTCACTAGCAGTGTAGGCATGCACGGACACATCATGGCAGCTGATACACTGATCTGGAATACAACTGATACTTGAGCTTTCAAGCAAATTATTAATAAAGTCCAACAAGACATGAAAATGATCTCCAAACAAAAGCGAGTGAGTGAGTGAGTGAGCGAGTAGGTGAATGAGTGAGTGAGTGAGTGAGCGAGCAGGTGAGAGAGTAAGCGAGCAAGTAGGTGAGTGAGTGAGCGAGTGAGTAGGTGAGTGAGTGAGTAGGTGAGCGAGGGAGTAGGTGAGTGAGTGAGTGAGCTAGGGAGTAGGTGAGTGAATGAGTGAGCGAGGGAGTAGGTGAGTGAGTGAATAGGTGAGCGAGGGAGTAGGTGAGTGAGTGAGCGGGCGAGGGAGTAGGTGAGTGAGTCAGTAGGTGAGTGAGTGAGTGAGTAGATTAGTGAGCGAGCAAGTAGGTGAGCGAGTGAGTGAGTAAGTAGATTAGTGAGTGAGTGAGCGAGTGAGCGAGCGAGCGAGTAGATTAGTGAGTGAGGTGAGGTGAGGTGAGGTGAGTGAGTGAGTGAACGAGTGGGTGAGTGAGTGAGCGAGCGAGCGAGTAGATTAGTGAGTGAGGTGAGT